ATCAGAGTCCCCGGGGGGTGGGGAAGGCAGTAGTGTTTTCACCAGCTCCCCAGGTGATTCCATTCCAGGTCCCATGCCCCCAAGCCAGAGTAAGAAAGTTAGCAGCCCTGGGAGGGCTCCTGGGAGTTCTCCTGACCATTGGCTGTCCTCCTAAGAACTTCTCTCTCTCTCTCTTTTTTTTAAATAATAAACTTATTTTTATTGGTGTTCAATTTGCCAACATACAGAATAACACCCAGTGCTCATCCTGTCAAGTGCCCCCCTCAGTGCCTGTCACCCATTCACCCCCACCCCCCGCCCTCCTCCCCTTCCACTACCCCTAGTTCGTTTCCCAGAGTTAAGAGTCTTCATGAAGAACTTCTCTTAGTGAGTTCCCGACCACCTCCGAACATTTGAAGGTGAGGAAGAGCTCATCTGTACGTGGCCGTGGTCGCTGGGTCCCTCCTCTCTTGGGGTAGACAGCATGGACTGGAGGTCTCCCTTTTGGGCAGGGTCCCCCTTGCTGCAGCTGGCCTGAGTGTGCCTCAGTCATCCTAAGAGGTGAGCCTCCCCAAAATGCAACCCCAGTTTGCCCATGTAAGCATGTCTGTGTGAACTGAAAAGGAGGGAGTGCTTTCAACTTGTATCTAATTTTAAAAAACAGATTTCTAATCTTGAGCAGGGGCAGGTTTGTTGATGATGGGAAGGCCGGTAGAGCAGTGGTTCTCAAACTGTGGTCCCTGGAGCACCACCATCATCACCTGGGAGCGGGTTAGACTATAGATTCCCAGCTCCACCCCAGACCTGGTGGTACGCTGAGGTTGGGATCTGGCAGGGATCCAGTCCGTGTGATTTTGGTGTCACCGAGGTTGAGAAGCACTGCCCTAGATTGATGATGAGTACCCAGGTGGACCCCTGGAGTCTTACAAAATCTCGGCCTCCTGGGGCTCATCTCAGTGTCTGGAAAGTTGTATTTTTAGCAAGTGCTCCAGGAGATTCTGAAATGCAAGTTTTTTTTTTTCTGTTTTTTTTTTTTTTTTCCTGAATCCTGCTAGTAGAGACCTGATAAATATTGCATTCTTTTAATAATAACTTCGTATCCACTTGGCACAGGGTAAGGACACTTTTCCTCCTGGAGTTACGGCTCCTTCGGCTCTAATTACCAAGACATCTTCCATCCGTTCGTTACCCATTAAGTACAGACAGTCATTCCCTTTAGCACACATCTTTCTCATTGCTGGATTGTTCACTGCCACATAAAAGCCACAAGTGGATTTTATGGCCTCATGCATACTTAATTAGTTCATCTTCTCAAAATTGTGTTTTAAGTGAGTGGAGACATTAGCCTCTGATCTAATTGATCCACAAAACATCTTTTCAGGATGTTTGCAGGGCCCAGCAAACATGATCAGAGGCATCCTTGGTGTTTGTCAGAGACTACAGGTCAAGGAGGTGAGGATCCTACTACTTTTTGTCACCCCTTGTGGGTTGCTCTGCAAAGAACAGGGTTGAGGCAGGACAAGAGCTGCAGGCACATGCAGCTCTAGAAGAGCTGATTATTTTTTGTTTTGCCCACAGCTGTCTCTACCCCCACCATCCTTATCTGTCATCATAAATGTCCACACCTGTGTGATATTTTATGACAGGGCACACCTGCCGGAACAGAGCTGTTGTCATGTTTCAGAGATGCCGCCTAATACGTATGTCATTAAGCCTCATGGCAGGAATGAAAAATGACTTCTGCTCCAACCCTTCCCACCTGCTACCCTCCTACCTCTGTTGTCCTTTACTCCCATCGTGGAGGTCACCAGGCTGCTGGAGAGGACTCTAGCGCACCCAGAGGACCCTGCCTGGATGCATTCCTGCACCCAGCCTCTTCTGGGCATCTGTCAGGACTCTGCACAAAGGGCCGGATGAAGCCTTCTGGAGCCTCCCAGGCAGATAGACTGTGGTCTTTTGTACACCTTAGCTATTGCAGGGCCTTAGCTGTTACAGGCCTCAGGTAGAGCCCTTGTTCCATTGTGCTTGTTTGTGTTAACAAAGCAAAGGAGTGAATAAAGGAAGCCTTTGTTTTTTCCCATGCAGGCCTTCCAGAAAGAACTTCTTTGGGAGTATTTGAAAGCCATTTTGATGGGACCAGACTGGCTAATAAATTTCTTTTCTTGACGATTGCAAATACTTGGTGCCTGAAAAATGAGCTAGCCACATAACCAGGGCTGACTTGAGTGGTGAGCTGGCCTTGACTTGGTTAGACTTGGTTGCAGTGCAAACAGGAATTAGATTGGAATGTGGGCAACAGAGCAGGTACACAGATGTCCCATCACCAATACCAGTGCTAGGACCCCGTTCTGCTGAGCATACCCACAGGGCCATCGCTGAAGGAAGAGTCCACCTCCTTCAGCATGTGGGTGCCCTTGCATTAGTGCTGTGCTGCTGACCCCAGACTGAGCCCCTTGGGGGCTGCAGCCTCACCCTCGGCCCCACTCCTGACCAGCTGAGTCAGAAACTCGGGGAGGGACCAGGCATCTGAACTCTTAAGTGGTTCCCAAGTGCTTCCAATCTAGGTAGCTTTGAGAACCACTGGGTTGAAAGGGTGTTTCAACAAGTGGGATTGAAGATGAGGTTGGGAGGAATCACCTGACTACTCTTGTTTTTCATAAGGTACATAGAGACATGCTCCTCCCTACAGGTATAGCTGTGTGTGGGTCAGAGGCTGTTGGATGTGCGGGTTTTGACAGTGGCGCACATACACGTTTGGAAGAAGGCTAGATCCGCATGACTCTGTTCCTCCCATTCCTTAGCACACCGCCCAGTGTCTCCGGAGATAGAATTCTGCTTCTAGCAGCTTCACAAATTCTCCTGTCCACTTCTCTTGCCACTGTGCTGTGCCTTGTCTTTCTGTTCTCAGTAATAGTTTGCTGGCATTCTTTTTCTACTCTTCTACCATCCACTTGCCACATGATGGCCACAGCTGGCATGTCTTTTGCTTTGAAGTTGCTGGATGCCCACAGATAAGTGATAGTGGTTAGACAGTCCTAACCAGCGTTTACACCTGTATGTTGTTGGCTCCTGGTTCCTGGCACTCGTATCCTCATTTTATAGCTGGGAAAGTGAAAGCATAGGGTGAACTGCCCAAGGTCACAGCATCAGGATGGCCCCAGAGCCCTGGCTCTGTACCCCTCTCCCTGCACTCTCCTGCAAGGTAGGGAAAGGCTGCTCTGTGCTAAGGAACCTTTTGTTATTTCTGATCTTCATGGACATCCTGCCAGGTTGATGTTACTATTCCTGTTTCACAAAAATCAAGGCTTGGACAAGTTAAGCAACTTGATCAAAATCCTAGAGCTAATTAAGGGAATGATAGCTGGGATTCAAATTAGGTGTTCCTCTCTCTGTGCTCTGCATTTTTTCCCACCGCACTGCTTGAGATATCTAATTTCTTTAGGGTGGCATCTGTGGCTCTTTAGAATCTGTTACCAATCCACCTTTCCAACCACTTTCCATACTATTATTTTTTTATTTTTAAATTTTTAAAAATATTTTTATTGGAGTTCAATTTGCCAACATATAGCATAACACCCAGTGCTCATCCCGTCAAGTGCCCCCCTCAGTGCCTGTCACTCAGTCACCCCAACCCCCTGCCCACCTCCCTTTCCACCACCCCTTGTTTGTTTTCCAGAGTTAGGAGTCTCTCATGTTCTGTTGCCCTCCCTGATATTTCCCACTCATTTTCTCTCCTTTCCCCTTTATTCCCTTTCACTATTTTTTATATTCCCCAAATGAATGAGACCATATAATGTTTGTCCTTCTCCGATTGACTTACTTCACTCAGCATAATACCCTCCAGTTCCATCCACGTCGAAGCAAATGGTGGGTATTTGTCGTTTCTAATGGCTGAGTAATATCCCATTGTATGTATAGACCACATCTTCCATACCGTTATTAAATCATGCCATCCAACTTTTGCTCACACTGTTCCTTTAGCCTGGAATGTTTTTCCCTGCCCACTAGGGCTATCAGATCTCCTAGGACAATAGGGACTCTTGCTGATAATACCCTGCATAGAACCCGCAAACAGCAGAGGGTGGGGGGCATTTGCATTTTCTCTCTAGCTCAAAAGCCCTAAAATAATACATCTTCTCTTGACCTTCCACCTCGTGTGATGTTGCAGCATGAATGTAATATCCAGTCACTTTGTGTTATAGCTATGCATGTCTGCCTTTCTGCAAGGTGGCTTCTTGGGGACAGGTGTCACCTCTTCCTTTTTGCTGTGTGTGTGTGTGTGTGTCTAGGGAATTGCCAAGCCACAAGTAGAGGTTTAATATTTGTTAAAACAGATGGAGGGCAGACTAGAATACAGAGGTGGGGAAAGCCTTAAAAACCTTCCATCCAGGGGACCTTGGCAGGTCTGTAGTGCACAGAACAGTTGAGGATGTGTTCATTTGAACGTCTCCAGGGAAATGTACGTTGGAAATTTCCAGAAGGAAACAGAGCTAATGATTATCCCAATGAGCTAATTTAGCATGTTTTTTGCCAGCTAGGTTTTTGTTTTATTGTCTTTAGGTATGCTTTGCTAACCTCCCAGTGAAGAGCCCCTGGCCCCCTGTGCCCTTGAAGCGTGGACCTTCTAAATAGGGTGTAGTTGGGAGCCTGCGAAAATGGACTTCAGGGCTTGGACAGGAATCCCGAGCCCTGTATGGTGGTGGCGTGTGGGGAAGGGGAAGTTGTTTCCCAAGCGTAGACAGTATCTTTCAGGATGGAAACAGGTGCCCAGAAACCAACCAACCAACCAACCAACCAACCAACCAACCAACCAACCAACCAACCGTCCTGCCATTGGGAAAGTTAACTCTTTAACCGTCGAGTCAGGGTTATCATGCTAAGTATCTTTCGGATCCTTCAGGTTTCCGTCCTTTGCACAGGGGGCAGGGGCGGGGGCGGCCGGTGCACTGCGAGGCAGGGGGGTCCTCCTCCCCGGGGGTGTCCATCAGCCCCGGCCTTGACGTGTGGTTCTGTGTCCGCAGGTGAGCGTCCTGACCACCCTGGAGCGCAGGTTCAACCTGCAGAGCGCCGACGTGGGCGTCATCGCCAGCAGCTTCGAGATCGGGAACCTGGCGCTCATCCTCTTCGTGAGCTACTTCGGGGCGCGCGGGCACCGGCCGCGCCTCATCGGCTGCGGCGGCATCGTCATGGCCCTGGGCGCGCTGCTGTCGGCGCTGCCCGAGTTCCTGACGCACCAGTACAAGTACGAGGCGGGGGAGATCCGCTGGGGCGCCGAGGGCCGCGACGTGTGCGCCGCCAACGGCTCGGGCGGCGACCAGGGCCCCGACCCGGACCTCATCTGCCGCAGCCGGACCGCCACCAACATGATGTACTTGCTGCTCATTGGCGCCCAGGTGCTCCTGGGCATCGGTGCTACGCCCGTGCAGCCCCTGGGCGTCTCCTACATCGACGACCACGTGCGGAGGAAGGACTCCTCGCTCTACATAGGTAGGCGCGCCCCGGGGCCCCCGCGCGCTCCTGGGGGGCTCTTGCGCGCTCACCAAGCCCCGCGCCCCTGTGCCCCGCGCGGTCCTCAGCCTCGGCTGCACGTCTGCCGCGCGTGTGGGCTGCCCCAACTTGGAAAAATGCAGGACACCTGAGCTGCACCCCCAGCAAGTCTGGTGTAGTTGGTCTGGGGTGCCACCTGGGCGGGCAGGGACGGTTTGGTTTTTTGAAAAATATTCCCCAGGTCATTTCGGCGCGCAGTGGAATTTGAGGTCGCCTTTGCTGGAGCGTTAAGAAGCTGTGAATAGGAAGCCACAATGGTGGTGGTGGTGTGTTGGGGCGGGGGTAAGGTGTATTTATCTGCCTTTCGTGTGTGTGCATTAGCCACGAGGCTATACTTGGGCCCTACACGTTGGAAACCCCAGTTTTTAACAATTAGAACGATCTTCTGCTTCTCATCCTATTAAAGTTCAAAGGGGGAGATGACGGTATTTCCCGCATTTGGTGTCATTCAAAGTCGGTGACTTCTGGCAACTTTCTGTAATGAGGATATAAGCAGGAGCTAGATATTTAGGAAGGAATAATGTACATGGGAGTTTTTTAAAAAAATCATTTTGCATCATGGCTTCTGATATTTTGTGCTGGGAAGGTGGAAGCCATTTATGGGTCTAAGGTTAAGAAACCTTGAAACGGGAGTCCTTACAACAAATGGGGTCCTCGGTCACAGCTTTGGGGCACTGGGGCATGGTCATTTATAGGGTGAAGGCCTGCTGAACATTTCTATTCCCCGTTCGTGAAGTGTAATTTTGCCTTCTGCAGGCAGTGGTGGTGTTTCGAGCTCTCCGCACTCAGCACTAAGCTTTGACAGAATTACCCCTAATCTGTGGAAACCTTTTGCTTCTCAAAGCACTGTGCCTCGAAGTATTGTTAATTGCCATATAAAGGTTTAGGTTGAAATAGAACTAGAGAGGCACCTGGGTGGCTCAGTACGTGAAGCGTCTGCCTTCGGCTCAGGTCATGATCTCTGGGTCCTGGGATCGAGCCTTGTGTCAGGCTCCCGGCTCAGTGGGGAACCTGCTGCTCCCTCTGCTGCTCCACCTGCTTGTGCATGCTCTCTCTGTGTCAAGTAAACAAATCTTAAAAAAGAATAAGATAGAATTTGGCATAAAGCTTTGTACCTGTTGAGCTTCCACCATGCTCTGTCTGCCCAAGGTTTCTGAGATAGTAGGGTTTGGCATAGTTACATACCTCCATACCGAGCTGAGGCTTTCTCAGCTATGGAGTAAATGCTTTTGTTGGACAAAATATGTTGCAAATGTGGGTTTCTGCTCTCTGAACAGGCTTGGTGAGGAAGGTGGAGAGTGTGTGCCTCTCTGTCCAAGGATAGAGCAGCTGGAGCCTGGTTGTGACTTAGCTTTCATTACGATGTGGAACACAGAAGACTTCCTAGGCTGAAGATGGCCAGACCCTCTCCCCATATGGTCAGGGTAGGAACTAAGGACATTGTTTATGTTTTGTTGTTTCTATAGCTGGAGTGACAGTCACCCCACGTGAGTCTCTTGCAGACTAGGACATGGGCTATGGCATATAGCCACATAGCTTCCTAGGGATCGGCCAGATAATTGGTCTTGGACTTGACTGATGTTACCCTAAGACCCTGGGAGAGATGTTTTCTGGTAGCAGTAACAGCAAGTAGATAAAGCACAGAAAAGGAGGTGGGGAATGAAAAGCTGAGGTCTCGTTTCTGATGATAGATTCAAGCTGAAAAATTTCTCCCCACGATCCCTCCTTAAGTCCTTTCAGTGCTGAATCACATCTGCTTGGGGCTTCCTACCTGGGGCAGCAGGCCCAAAACCCTCTTCTGGAAGTCTACCCTGCTGAGTTAGACCATGGTCTTTCCCCGCAGTGCATAGGGCCTGGTTTATAGGTGCAAAGCTGTAAAGTGAGGAGGTACTTTGGTTTTGTGTGTAGCAGGTGGAGACATGGGCAGTAGGGCTGACCATTCAAAGCAAAGGGCCTTTTCCAGTTGAGGCCGTGTCCATGTCTGTGGGATTTGCTGTGAGTCTTTGTTAGCAAGAATGTTTCAGGCTAATTTCTACTTGGGCACCATTTTTTTTTCTTCTGTGATAGCTAAACAGAGTTGGAAGTGTCTATTTGTGTGGTGCATGGACCTCTCGGTGGCACTGGTCCATCTGGCAAATTCCAAAACATGACCGTACATAGCCATTGAGATGGGCTCTCTGAGTGCCTCTGAACTGGATTCATGGGTCTGTGTTTACAGGGAGCAGAAAAGAGGAAGCCTGCAGAGATAGGCCTCAGTAGGTGGTCTTATCCCATGCATGCTTTGGATTCTCTAGGAACAATCTAAGAAGACCACAGTATATGCAGAGTGTAACTGGTTCCTTCATTTGTCATACAGGACATTGAAAACAATGTTTGTGATCATGAGAATATTTTAGCATTTATCTTCTCTAATGGCTTTAATGCCACTTAAAGCTTTGGGATGTCTATGGGGAAACCTACTGAATGGGACAGATGAATTATGGCCTTATATATTGCCTGCAGAGAGGAGGAAAGTCTGAAGGGATGGGCACTGGAACTGTTTGTCTAGATGTGTGCCCACCAGGGTGGAATAGCATGTGTGTCCCCTGGTTTCAGCTCCTACAAAGCTGGTGAAGAGAGTGAGGCCCCCAACCATCTGGTCATATGCCTAAAACGTGAGTGTGGATTGGAGATGGAAAAGATGATAAATACTGCCTTTGTAAAACACAGACTTCTTCACAGCTGATCCTTTCCTGTGAATGTCCACAGAAAAGGGGATGATGACCATGTAGGCTCAGCCACAGGACAAGGGTGGTGAGACTTACCCCTGAGTTGTGCATGTTCTGAGTCACCAGTCGCTCCTGGGGGCTCACCTGTGGCCACGTCGTGGACGCTCTAATGAAGGGGAAATTGAAGCATTCCATCTCAGGTCAAGCCGATATTGTCCTCTGAAGTGACTGTTTGCTTTGGACTGTTGTGGCCGTGCCACTGCCAAACTCCTGAATTCCTTGATGGGCCATTCACCAGGGGCTTCTCTGGCTGGCACCATTCTGCAGCTGCCCCTCTGTGTGGGGAGGGAGCCAAGGGAGCTCATTACCAGGGACAAAACCCGCTGAATGGGAACACGTCTCTGCTGGCAGGCTTCTCCCTACCGTACAGTGTGGAGCCAAGCCTCACAGAGCAGCTAAACAATGACCTGTGGCTGGCACGTGGCATCCTTTCCTCCTAGAGGGACTGATGGGGCCGAGTGGCAGTGGAGACCATCTGAAATGACACATGACCAGGGTCCAAGAGTCGACCTTTTGGGAGTCTCCTCAGTGAGCCTCTGGCCCATGACACAACCTCCTCTTAGCTCAGTTTTCTTAGCTGTTCTGTTTCCCCAATTTCAAAACCTGGCAAGTCCAATTGTAGGCAAGAGTAAGTAGGATAATATAATGGACTCACTCAGTGTGTCCTTTGTTAGGTTCCTGGGTCAGTTGGTTGCAACCTTGTCCTGTTTGAGGGAAAAGGTGAAATGGGAGTGATAGATTTTTAAAATAACTTTATTCCTTGTTGAAAAGTATTATAACTTTTCAACTGTTGACAGCTTTGGAAGTACAGAGAAAGAATAAAGAATCACTACTCTTAGCTTTAAGATCTCCCCCCCCCCACACACACATACCGCATTGGTATGCTTTTCTACCAAAAATGTGTTTAGGGGTACCGGGGTGTGCAGTTGGTAAAGCGTCCGACCCCTGGTTTCAGCTCAGGTTGTGGTCTCATGGTCCTGAGATTGAGACCCGTGTTTGGCTCTTTGCTCAGCGTGGAGGCAGCTTGAGACTTTCCCTCTTTCCCTCTCCCCCTCCTCTCCCAAAATAAAGAGATCTTTAAAAAATTGTGTTTAGGGCAGCCCCGGTGGCGCAGCAGTTTAGTGCTGTCTGCAGCCTGGGGTGTGATCCTGGAGACCTGGGATTGAGTCGCACGTCGGGCTTCCTGCATGGAGTCTGCTTCTCCCTCTGCCTGTCTCTCTCTCTCTCTCTCTCTCTGAATAAATAAATAAATAAAAATCTTTAAAAAAATTTGTGTTTATAATAAATGCATCTCTCAATATTTGATGCACGTTGCCATGTGTTACCAAATATTTTTTCTGTGGTGTTGCTACTGCATATGTAACATTCTCTTGCAGATCTCTACCGTAATGTTTAATGCCCTCTATTGTTGGACATGTGTTTTTTTAAAGGGTTCCTAGTTGTTAATGAGGCAGACAGGAACAGGGATTCTGAGAGATGCAGTGACCTGCCTGAGAATACTTAGCTGAATGGAGCCAGACTCTGGGTCTGACGATGAAGGTTTTCCCATGTATGTCTAGGGCCTGTCACAAGGCTGGGGTTGTCGGGGGGGAGGGCCGGTGGATGGTCCAAGGGGTCAGGTACAAGTCAGGACATTGCACAAGACTGCATGAAGCCTTCAGGAAATAAAAATCACAGGAGCCCGGCAAGGAGGGAAGAGCACAGTGTGCCTCACAGCCGAGGGGAGAGGGTGGGATCAGAATGGGGAGTGTGTGTCAAAGCCTGAGATGGGGGAGTTGGGAGGCAGAGGGAAGGGTGGTTCGGGCTAATAGTCCAGGGCAGGGTTCTGGAACTCCTGCTGCTCCGAGTAGACCTGGGTGTAGATGAGAGCTGTCGTATATTCCGCCTTCTGCTTCCCTGTCTTCAGCGATGCAGGGCACTGCCCCCCACCCCCACAACTGGATGTTCATTCCCTTCTTGAACCATGATAGCCATTAGGTAATTGTGCTTGTGTTGTGTTAGAAATTCGTCTGTTTACAGCTTCACACACGCTGCTTCTGATTCTGCCCCAGTATCTCATTTTGAGATAATGCTAGAATCCTAAATCGCTGCAAAATACAAAGAAGTCCCCCATGCCCTCCATCCAGTTTCCCCCAGTGGTAACATGGCACTTAACTGTATTTAGCACAATAT